AAGGTTAGACATATATGCAAGATTTACAAAAGCTAGGTAGCCTATAAATTAACAATAAATTATGAAAAATGAAAAAAATCAATGTTGTGACAGACGATAGTATAAAAATATGAATAAAATGCAGTGTCAAAATTTTAATATAATAAAACTCACTCCTTGTTTTTGGCTGGTCTTGTCACGACACAATGAAATTTCCATCCAAAGTCCACATACAAGTCATCCTCAACAACATGAAAAATTGTACCAGATACCACTTTCCCTTCAGGATCACCAAGCTGAAAACATTTGAAAATCAAGAAATTTTTGCTTAAGAGCATGATAAATTTTTACAATAGAAAGTTACGTATAGCATTGACTGTCAAAGGTTACTACGTTAGGTATTGCCTACAGAAAGATTTATTTGCTGAAACATTTTTCATTGTACAAACCCCCATTCATTGTTTCCGTTTTGTTTTGTAGGCCTAACCCATTTTATTTAGGAGGCAAAAATTTGTACATAAAACAAGTATTTAGCCTATGTTAATTTTTGGCACTTTTTAAACATTTCTACTTTAAATACTTGAACAAAAAACATGGCTTCTTAGTGCATACATTTTTAGTCTAAAAACCAGTGTGGGTATATTAACAAAATTTCCAGTAGTGTTTAAAGAATACCCCTTGTTTGCAAACTGAAAGAATTGATGTTTCCTTAAATAGGGCGTCAGACAGAAATCGTTTAGATTTACCAAAACCAATCTTTAAAAGTGACCTATGAGCAATATTTAGAGGTTCGAGCAAACTTTTAAAACATCCCCCCCAGGCTATAATCCCAAATGAAAGCAAAGATTGGGCGTAAGCAAAGTAGGCAATTTTAATTTGTTTTAAGGTTAGAATTCCATTCATTTGTCTAAAGGCAAACGTGTATTTCCTGACCACTCCTTACACTTTGAATATGTTCAGCCCATATATTCCATATTCAGCCCACAGCTTGCGCATTTTTGATATCGTTATTTCATTGTGTTTCACCCACTATTTAATTGTGCAAAAACAGTCTGGAAGTTGCATAAATTAACGAGTCGGTTCATTATAACCTAACCTTTACCTTCCTAATCTAACCTCACTTCAAAACACTTAATACAGTCACGAATCCACATAAAACCCGACCTACCTTCCTCACATGCCTAAATAAGAACTGATTATTTGGTTTCAAAACAAATTGATTTGATTTCATTCCGCATTAGATCAAGTATAAACAGTTGTTTGCTCTTCTCACTCAGTCCTCACTCCTCACTCTTCACTCAGTACGGACCCGTCCAGACCACGCCATAGTACCATTACCTTCAGTACCGCTCAATTATCCTTGTCAGATTCGTAATCCTAACCTTCGTTTTACGGCCGCTACCGCCACTTAGGAATCTCTCCGACCAAAACTGATTGCATTTTTGGATTCAGCGTTAAAAATACTGTAAGTAGACATATAAAAATTACATCATATCCCAGTGTAAATACAGTAAATATTTGCCTGCATTTTATGTATAATGTTTAATGATCAAATAAATCTACTATAGCCTATCTACTAAAAACTTACGTCAATGAACTTTGAATTTTTTAATAGACTTAAGAATGTTGGTTCTTCAGTTGCTATGATTTCATCTTGCTTAGAAAATTTTTCGTAAGATTTGGCAAATCCACCTTTTTTATCATCTCCAACCGTAGTTAAATTTTCCATTGTTTGAGGTGTGCAATAATGCCTGACACTAGGCCTATCAAAACTAGGTTTAGGCCTAGCCCAACTTAAACTTATCACTGAAGATTTAAATTTGTTCATACTGCAATGTCTACCAACTAATAATAATGATTTTCCACACATAACTGACTTAGCGAAGGAAAACACCATTTTATGTAGTACAATCACAATTTTTCACAATATTAACACATAGCCTAGATGAAGTAATGTTAACACTTCTAACAACAGTTAAGGTGTAGGCTAACCTAAAAATGCTTAAACAAAGTTGTTATCTTCTTATGAGCAGATCAATCCCCAAAACGATGTAGGCCTAATATAAATCTTAAATTAATTATAATGTTGCTGATATTTATATTAACAAAATATTACTATTTAGTTAAAGGTTAAAAATTTAATTCAAACACCAAATTTGTCGACTTATTCACACTTACACTACACTACAGTCACTCACTCACGAGTGCTCACGACACATTACTTCTACTTTCTCAACGTTCTCAACAATAACAATAACAATCTCACTCAATCTCAACCACACTCACACAACTCAGACTGGCAGACTGAGACTGGACTGGATAGTGATGGATGGGGGCAGCACAATTTGTTTTTCAGGATTTATTTTGCCAACGTGTAATTTAGAGGCTTCTGATTGTTTATAACGAAGGTTTAGTACTTGAAAAATTATTTTTATTCATAGAATAAAATTATAAATGCCTCAAATTCAATTTTATATTTTTTTTATTATGAAATTAAACCGTCATAACCTAACCAAACCAACCAAACGTGCTGACAATGAAAAAATCTAATGAAGGTTAATTAATCGAAAAAATTGTTCTGTTCATAAAATAAAATTATAAATGCCTCAAATCCTATTTTATATTTTTTAATTATAAAATTAAACCATCATAACCTAACCAAACTAACCAGACTTGCTAATAATGAAAAACATCAAATGAAGGTTAACCGAAAAAATATTTCTGTTCATAAAATAAAACTATAAATGGGTCAAATTCAATTTCATTATGTTTTAATTATAAAATTAAACCTTTATAACCTAACCAAACCAACCAAACTTGTTGACAATTAAAAAAATCCAATACAAAAACTTATGCTACGGATGGGATTTGAACCCGGGACCTTCGGTTCATCAGCCCAGCACTCTATCCACACTACACCACCGATGCCGATTGGCATTAAGTCGTATCGTTGCGGTAATGATGTTCCCTCAGCCAATCAGAAGCCTCAAAATAATACTGTAGGCAACACTAATCCTGAAATAAAAATTCAGCATGGGGGCCATGGGGGCATTGACTTTATATCTACACTGAGGGACACGATTTGTTTTTCAGGATCAATTTTGCCAACAATGCCAACAGTGTCATTTGGAGGTTTCTGATTGACTATTGAAGCACAGACAATGGAATAAACCAAACAAATTAAACAATGGAATTAATAATTAAACTAATACTACACTGATATATTTGATATAACTAATTACAATTATTCAAACTTTAAAAATGTAATAGTAATACTGTAAACTAACTAAAGCATTTCATTTCATTTCATTCATTTGTACAAAAAGAAAAAAATATCTGTCAATTCTGTCAACTAAGCTCAAACTACATGACGAAATACCAGTCTGGTCTGTATCAGGACAGGATATATAGGCTTTGTCCTGTATATAATTCTACTACAGCAAAAAAAATATATTAATAACAATAATAAATAAATAAAATAAAAATAATAAGGACTCTTTCTTAAACCATGGCACAACTTACCCTTTAAAATTATCCAGAAAAAATTCTTCAATGCTATAGTAAGATTTTTCCAATAATAATTTATTTAAGGTTTTGAAGGTATTTTTTGAAGTATTGAAGGCACTTTTTTGAGGAAGTAGATTGAAAAGTGTAATGCCGTTGTAATGGAAGTGTCTCTTAAAGAATTACGTTGAATGAGATGGCAATTTAAGATGTGAATTGTTACGTAGTGTATATGAATGAGTAGGTGAAGATTGATATTGGTGTAGGTTCTTTTAAATGAGAGTCAAAGTTTCTAAAATGTAGATAGATAGATAGATAGATAACAGTGCTTTATTTTTCTGAATCGTTTACAAATTTACAGATTGTATTCTTTTTATGCACGAAAGACAATAGTCATTTGACCGTCTGTCTCACTGGGGAAAAACATACCATGAAAGTGTGCACCAGCTATCGAGGACATTGCATCTCTTTAGGAAGCTCAAACCTATGCTGACAAAGCAATACCTACTGACTGTCTACTTTGCTTTTTGTTCCACAGCCATCTCAGCTATGGGTTGGAGGTTTGGGGCCATGCAGCTGGATGTAAGGATATACTTTTGTTACAAAAGAAGGTAGTCAGACTTATTTCGTCCGCTGACTACCACGAACATTGCAGACCTCTTTTTAGTAAACTCAATATCCTTACAGTATACAGCCAGTACCGTCTAATTACCCTAAAGAACGTAAGGACCAACATCTCTAGTCTTGCATTGAGAGAAGACCAACATGATCACAATACAAGGTCAAAATCCAACCTTGATATCCCTTTCTGCAGACTAAACAAAAAAAGGACAGCTTTCCTATGTTGGCAATTAGTATGTACAACCGACTGCCACTATACTTTAAAAACCTTGAGGCCTCAGTTTTCAAAAACGAACTGAGGGAGTGGCTACTGGCAAGGCCCTTGTACTCCCTAGATGAGTTTTATAAAATTTGCGTCTAATCTACCGACAAACTTGTAAATATGTATATAAATATTATTAGTATTTTTATTTTCGACTCAGTCTATCCAGCAAGAGCTGGTCAACGACGTCGAGGGAGTAAGTAAGTAAGTAAAATCAGAACTAGCCAATAGTGTTAATTTTGTATACTTATTTATACTGATTGTTATATGTTGTTAATTATTTACACTGTTTGTTGTTATTGTTATCAACTTATTCACCATGTTGTAACTGTTGTAATCTCACCCACACTGTTCACCACCACCACCATAATTTCTCACGCATCCATATCATGCTTTCTTGTGTATTTTGTATCTCATGTATTTTGTATGTCTTATCTCATGTATAATTTTGTAAAATGGCGATTGTCATCGAAATAAATAAATCAACTGTGTGATTTTATATAGTATCTGATATCCGAGTTCGTGTTCCTACGGACTGTCCCTAGATAGAAAAAACTTGGTCAGCAACAGCAAATGACAATGAGTCAATGAGTCAGTTTTCTTGTTTCTTGTCTTGTCAGTCAGTGTTCGTTCGGCTCGTAGAATCGTGATAATTGAAAGATGGTGGACGATGTATCATTGATGAGCAAGTTTCTATTTGGACTTAAAATTGCGTGACTGTTAATATGTTTAGATTTCAGTGTTTGTCCGAACGGGGATTTTACTAGTGGAATAATCTTGTTTAGTGCATTTACTGCAGCCAACATTAATAATGCGTGAGTTTAAAGTTGTCGTTCTCGGCTCGGGTGGAGTTGGTAAAAGTGCGCTTACTGTTCAGTTTGTTTCTGGATGTTTTATGGAAAAATATGACCCTACCATTGAGGATTTTTACAGAAAAGAAATCGAGGTGGATAATTCTCCTTGTGTATTAGAGATTCTTGATACCGCTGGTACGGAGCAGTTCGCAAGCATGCGAGATCTGTACATAAAAAATGGCCAAGGATTTGTTGTCGTTTACAGCCTAACGAACCACCAGACGTTTCAAGACATCAAAACGATGAAGGAACTAATAACGCGAGTTAAAGGTTCGGAAAGAGTACCTATTTTGTTGGTAGCAAACAAAACGGATCTTGAACATCAAAGAGAAGTGCCAACCCCAGAAGGACAAAGTTTAGCACAAAGTTGGGGGTGCCCATTTGTAGAAGCCAGTGCCAAAAACAGGACAAATGTGAATGAAATGTTTGCGGAAATAGTGAGAGAGATGAATTTTAGTCCAGAAAAGGAGAAGAAGAGTTATTGTTGTTGTACAGTGCTTTAATAAGTGTCGATACGAATAGTGTTAAGGCCTACTTTATCCCTGGATATCAAATGTGCAAAAAGTGATTGGATTATTGGATAACACCCTTGCTTTGTGTAAGTAGCCTATTTAGTTGTTCCTGCCCCATTTATGATTTTTGTATCAAACCTTAGGCCTAACTTAAATTGTTTGGTTGAAAAGAGTGAATGTTTTAAGTTATGTTTCGCTCCCTGTTTTAGGTCAAGCAAGTTAGTAAGTTAAAGCTGGGTTTTCCTAGGTGCGGTAGCGGAGCGCGGAGAGCGGACTCCTCTTGTCTTTGGTAATTTAATGTTAGGCCTATTAACTGTTTTCCTATAAGGTACCTAAGTGGGCCTAAGCGGAGCGGAATGCCATGTTAATCGCTCTCCGTGCTCTTCTCCCGCACCTACGAAAAACCCAGCTTAACTTAGGGCAAGATAAAATTTACCTGTAGGAGTTTTTTTTAAAAAACAGACTTGGGTACCGTACGTTTAACTTATTGTTGGTTTACCGGTAGGTCTATTTGGGTAATTAACTTATTGCGATGAGGGTGATCAAGAGTAGGCCTACTATAGGCTAGTAATTTATATATCATTAGCAACTAAGTTAAGTAGATTTTTACAATGTTGTAGCCTAATAGGAACATTGAATCTGCACTTCAATGTTTACACTGTAAAATTGAATTATTGATTGATTAAGTTAACACGTTCGCTACCGAGCGACGCACATCTGCGTCGGTCCGGTCACTCCTACAGACCAAAAGGAATGGTCATGACGTTGCTTACAGACCAAGTGATAGGCCTATAGGAATAACATTGCCGACAGACCAAAAGAGAAATATTGTTTAAATGGACTAATTGACTTCATATTAACCTTAAGTGAATTAGTAAGCAATAAATATTTTTTTTTTTATCGTTTTGAGCAAATTTTAAAACGCCGCACAGGCCTGTATGATAGTTGATACTTAGGCCTACTTACTTGATACTTGTGTGCTGCGTCGTTGACCGACAATATCGGATAGACTGCGTTATTATATACACATTTAAAAGAATAAACACTTCTATTTACATACATTTAAACAATAAACTTAATCAGGCTGTGGCGGTAAATAAAACATGTTCCCCATTTTTAAGGAAGGGCTTTTATAGGCCTATAACTTTTAGGGGTTCTTTGCTCAGCTCCTCGAGCGAGTAGGTACAGTACCGAGTGAGTACAGTGTAGTTAGTAAGCAGTGAGTACAGTATGCGTCGGTCAGTCTATTTAATAAAATCCAGTTAAAAAGATTACATTTTCGTTTCAATAGACCAGGCGACGCACGTAAGCGTCGTTGTAAATTTGGTTGTTTCAAGCTTTTACACAAATAAAGAAACTCCACTAAACACTAGCCAAAACTGCAAAGGTTATAGGCCTAACGTTTACATCTGTTCTGTGATGTCGCGGAATACACAATGTAAACAACAATGTTGCCAACTGTTGTGTGACGTAACCAATCGTCATAACTTATTCACAGACCAAGCGACGCACATTTGCGGCAGATATCCCTCTAGACCGATACGATAAAATCAGGGCTTTCAAATAGACCGTTGCTAAGAAATACGCTGATTATTAACATTGAACACCGACGCAACTGTGCCTCGTTAGTCTATTTCAATGTGACCAGCTGACGCAAATATGCGTCGGTGGTCTATTGTGAGAAACGAGTCGACGCACAATTGCGTCGCTGGTCTATGCGAACGTAAATTCCATATAATTGTGGTAGCGAACGTGTAAAAGCATATATGCCATTTCCTATTGTTATATACCGTAACTGAATGGCCAATAAAAACGTCAGGCTAATTTTAAATTTAATGTTCATTTAAATCATTTGAAGTAGCCTAAGTAATTTCTGTTCAATCAACCAAATAAAGAATCTTGTAGCCTATCTTAGTGCTATTTTGTGAACAGAAGTAGGCCTAGGCCTGGTAATAATTATATGTATTAAGGTGACCAAGGGAACCTAGGCTATAAACTAGATTTTTACCTGAATACAATGGTGCCAAAACTTTCCTAAAAAAACTTAGGCCTGGATTTAAACTAGGTACGATCATTTGAATTTTATTTTAATGTTTTATTAGGAACGTTGATCTGCACATCAAATTTACACACTAAAATCAAGGTTAACTTAACTAGCTGTTACCCACGGGCTTCAACTCGTTTGACTACATAAGTATATTAATAAAACTAGGCCTATTGATTGGTTAAGTTAAGCTGAAATAAACAAAGAGGAATGCAGCATTACAAACGTTCAAATAACATAGACTAACCAACACAAGTAGACTTCTCATCCCATTGTAAATTTTGAAGCACGTTTTTCGTGTCTAGTTCATCTACGGTGACACTGGGCGCTAGTGTCGAAATTTTGTTTAGATTATTTTAGGGTTGATTTCTTGATTTGTCCTTTACTGTTTGGTTGTATAACTAGGGGACAAGTTATTGTTTATGATTAGAGCGTATTCTTTGGTTAAACGAGGTTTTAAATTAGGCTTACCTACTGTAATAATAGGAAACAAATTGTAAACAAAACACAAACTCTACATAAACCGTACCGTACAGAACTAACAATAAAATTGTCTTCAGCTGTTCCATAAGGATGAGTTAGGTAATCTACTAAGGGAGTACGTTTTATCTATGCAAATAATCACACCAGATTTTAATAAGGTAGTAAATTGAAAGAATGGCATACAAATAAGAACAGCTGAGGTATTTTTTACATTAAATATGTGGAAAATTCCCTTTGGCAAGCAATTATGACCTTAAAGGGCAATTTATGAAAAAATGGATAGTTTTGCACAAGGTTTCTCGTCATGACGAACATTTTAAGTATGGTTTATGGGGGTGTGACTTGTAGTTTTCTCAAAAGTTCATGGGCACTTTTGGGCTTTATATAGATAACCCAAATCACAATTAGCTTACAGTATTGATTGATTGTAGGCTATGCCATTTTAAAGTAAATATCGCCCTCATAACCCACATTTATACAGGTAAATGCGTTAATTTAGGCCTAAGTATGCTCCCTAAGTAAAATATTTGATTAAAATTTAATTAAGATTAAGTAATTTTAACACTTCTTGGTCGGGCATATTTAATCTGGACTGGGTTATGAAAAATGAAGATGGAATTCATTTCGTTTGGTTCTTCTCTTCATTTCACTAAGTGGCTTAGCTTAGGAACCGTTATGTCCCATTATGAAAATGATGTAGTGGCAGACTTAAAAAACCAACCCTAGACTACCTAGCTATTTAATCTAACTTGTGATCAAACTCATTAATTATTTAACCAAAACTTTACCTTCCTAATCCAACCTAACTTCAAAACACTTAATACAGTCTCGAATCCACATAACACCAAACCTACATAAGTTACCGGTACCTCACATGTCTAAATAAGATTTGATTAGTTCACAATAACCTATACAACATTCAGTTGCATTTACAAGTTGTTGCAGTTTTAGTGCCATTTAGGCTAGTATGTTCTGGGCTTCTCTTTTTGACCAGATTTAAAGAACATTTACCAGGCAAATTGATACCTAATACTTGATAAAGGTACTTAATTCATGGAAACCATGGAAGGATTAGAAATATATAAGGCCGTAAAAAAATAACCCTAGAACGTACTAAATGATCAAACAGAGTTCAAATCTAACATTATATATGAATCAGCATTAAAGTAGGCAGAACGGTCGGCTCCACTATCATCAACATAAGATATGGGAGGGGATGGAAAAAGGACTGCTTAACCTTGATAAGTTCAGTCTAGACTAGCTCCTTGCATGCGTCGCGCATCAATGCCAGTACAGATGAAAAATGTTTGTGACTCTTACGTGTGTATTCGTTTTTATGTTCATGTTTGTGTCCGTAGTGTGTTCTCGTAATTTTAATGTGACGAATTAGTATGAATGAAAACTTACTTTGACACCTGAAGAAAGCCCCCTGAGGGCTGAAACTGCAGTAGGCCTAGTGTTAACTACTCCAAGGATCACCTGACAGTTATTGGGAGGCTAACATCATGAAATACCGTATATAAATTGCTAAGTTATCTAGGTTCATATCATCACCTTAATATCTTTACCTTTACCGGTTCTTCATCATTGCCCAGCCATAGCTGGATAGATTGCATTATGAAAAATTAAAACTTTGGCTCTATACACTATATAGGCCTACAAGGCGGTGGATCATGATGTCCAAACTGAGTCAGGGGTTTCGAAAAATTCCCTGATGGAGTAAAGGGGCCTAGTCTTCAAATCCCTAAACATGTGCGCCACGAACGCTTTAGGCCTCTTTTATGCACGACGTTTTCGGTCGGGCGGAATCGATGTCCCTTTTATGCAGTTTCTCCGCCGAGCGGAATCCGCTGTTTTTTTATGATGCCCGCGGTGGGGGTTGTCAGTGCTGCCAACTTTGTTCATTTGGCCATCATCAGTGACAATGACCCAAGATGGATTCTTGTTTATTGGTTTAAACCTATTTGTGCGTAAAAAAAGATGTCGGCGTAGGAGTTGTGGGCTGTACACCCGGTGAATGAAAGTCATAGGGCTGGCCTTTTGTACAAAAATTCCCATATCAATCCCGGGTGATACCTTTGTTACAAAAATCCCCATGTCAGTCCCGGGAATACCAAAGTCATATTATGCCTACGAAACAATAAGACTGTATTATTCCGTGGATTTAAACAAAAATTTAATTTTCGCCCAGTACATTTTTTCTCATTTACATCTCTTTATTATTGTACTCTTTAATCTATTAAAATGAATAATGATCATCTATTTACAATGATTAGGCGATTTCAATACTGTGGATGACAGAGAGTAGGGTAGGTTGGCAGCACTACATTCCGACCGACGGAAAACGCAGTTGCATAAAAGGGTTCCATTTGAACCTATGTAAAGACACGCTCCAACAAAACGCCGAAACTCAGCGGAGTCCAAGTCCTCCGTCGGCCTCCGACGGAAAGCTGAAACGCGACGGAGATTCCGTTGTGCATAAAAGGGTCCCATTTGAACCCATGTTAAAACACTCACCGACGGAAAGCCCGATAGATTCTGATAGATTCCGCCCGACGG